ACGGCTAGCATACCTTCCCTAACTACATGAAGTGGAAATTCAAAGAAACAGAGAAATAAGCCTGGACTAGCTACCTTGGCACCCTTTCTAACCTAAGGTAAGTGCTACTAAAATGGTAAACTCATACTTTCATTGTCATGGTTGGTGCCATTTACATGCATTTCTGTAATAGCATCAGATGAGCAAACAATGCAAGCATTGGTAGGTACATTTGAAATGCTAATATATTTCAGTGAGCTACCTATTTTTATATTCTGCAGCCAACACAGGAAGACAACAGAAAATGCTTACCTAAAGAGTTTTGAACAAGGCTCATGGTTATGGATTTCTGCAACAACAAACAAGAAAAAAAGAGACATATGTCCAACTACTCAAGGTAAAGAGAAATTACAGTGGCATATCTTGCATGAACTTTCCACATCACAGCTACTGAGCAAATAAACATTTCCGTCAGACCACACACTACCCTTAATGTCTCAACAACAACACTTGATGACACAGCACCATACTCTCAAAACTAGCTTCTCTTTCTAATCTGCCATTATAAAGAGGAAAATGTTCTAACAATACGCAAGACATACACTTGCTCAGACACACAGATGTTTCTGAGCCTCAAAGACACACTTTTGGTAGTATTTTATAGTTGTAATCTCCTCATAAAGGCATTTATGACTTTTTTTTTTTTCTTTTTTAATGCACTTTTCCACAACAATTTACTTGCATTGACATACACTGCTTATTACAAGCAGCAATGAATTAAAAAAAGGGATGGGGAAGGGAATGACTGAAATGCTATCCATTGGAGTATTTAAAGACAGAAGGCAAATAGAATCTATGATGAGAAAAGGGGTTGAATGCCACTCCAAAATGGTTAGCTGCAATTTATAATTGTTATATGCAATATTTAAAAGTTTTTTTTTCATTGAAGAGGTTGTAATAAAGTTCTTATTTAGGATGCAAAGGTTGTAACATGTCAGTAATCTCATAGAAGAGTGAAAATAGAGCAAAAATCCAATCTACATCATCTCTCTAACACCAATCACAACTTACTTCTTTGTGGTGTTTAGTACTTCAATGTTTTCCACTGCTCTGGCTTTTTATCAAATACAGCTTATCATTTATTCATGCTATTATACCTTGATTACATAACTTTTGTCTGAAACTGTATTTGCTCAGACTGGATAGCACTTATGTAGCAATAACATTTCAAGCTCCTATGTTAGAACCCAGTCGGAGTGTTTAGCAACAACTTTGTTTAGACTCTTCCTTCCTGGAGAGTGACTCACCACCTGCTGTTCTGAAAGCCACAGGCTGCTCATGATTGCCATCTCAGCAGAGTCAGAATCAGATCGCAATTCCCAAGAACAACAGACTACACACATTAGCATCTCAGCATATTTAGCCACTATCAAAACAAGGCCCTGAACATCCATGGCAGGCATACTGCCTGAGAAATCGTACATTTTCACTGGCAAGAACTCCTCATGATGCTGCTGTTAGTTACTGCCTTTCTTTATTCGGAATTGTTTAAAAGTGTATCGACCCACTATTTTCACATTGGCATACAGAAATCTGTGGAAACATCTGTTAAACAAAGCCAGTAAGTGTAATTACCCCAGCTTAGACCAACGCCTTCCAGCAAATATACTGACTACAAGGACTTGGACTCTTCTTGGGTTGTTACGTTGCTACACAGACCTTGCTTTTTGAAAAACAGGAAGCAACAAGCCTACTGCTCAGAATGCATAAAGCAGCCATCATTCTAAACTTAAGTTTTAAACAGTGACTTGTGTCTTACATATATATATAGTATATACTATATATACACACTCAGACACCACCAGCTTTGAGACAGCAGACACATAAGAATGATAAAACTCATCTGTGACAACAGTGCCACAAAACTGTCGATGTCAGTTCATAAGTTGAACCAGGAGATCGAGTGAATGTTGATGAATAAATATTGAAGTAAACATTTGGTAAACAGAAAATATCCAGAAGATCTCCAGGGGCGGGTAATTTCCCTTCTCAGAAAATAACTGTAACCAAGAATGTGACAAAAGAGTTATCTAAAAAGGGAGTAATTTTTAACACCACAAACACTTAGTTTATGAAACCATGCTGGATCTGCAGTTGGTGACATTACTGTATTACACTGTCAACAATAACTAAGATCCATTACCACTGAATAGTAATGTCTAGTTTTGTCTGAACAGACATAGCTATCAGCTGCCTGCCTTTACACAATACTTTGATAGTGATTGGATACACACACACACACACAAAATCCTATGCCTTTCTGTAATTTAGCTTAACTGTAATTGACACTTCACACAGTCAATTTATCACTCATGTTTCCTTAGGAATAACCTGAATAGGACACTACTGGATTCTTGTATACACAACCACCACCACTTTAATTTGGCAAGTATCTTGAGATGTAACATAATACAGCACACACTTTCACAGACCATTAGTTCTGTATCAGGATAACATTTGAGAGTCAATCACAAGATGTTTGCATATCAGCTAAACTTTATGCAGACTCTGCTGTGTTATCTGGAATCAGATCCACAAAGCCAGGTATGTACACAGTCAGGTTTTTAAAGAGGGTTTAGATGTATTGTAACATCGGGTTACGTAAATAAAAAAGGTATTTTCTTTCAGAGGTTTCCTATATTCTATGAACCATTGAGCTAAAAGCATGCAATGGCTTCTCACTTACATACAAAAATATCTACTTCAACCAACAACATTTAATAGCAAGATCTTAGATCTTTCACTTTTCACAACAACAAATCAGCTGTATAATCCTCAGGCTTATCAATAAAGTAAATTATTTGACAAATACTCCTCGGCAAGCCTTGCTGTGACAGTTCACGATGTCATCAACTACCAGTCATCCATCCAAACCCTCCACTGGAAATTTGCCCCCTTTCAGTATTAGTAAATCAAGCAATGTATTTATCTCATTTGGAGCACTTGCTTGTATTTAGGCAATCATATCACGGAGGAGATGCCCTGCAGGACCAAAAGCCAAATAAAAAATTTCTCCATCGTGAAATGCCGATAAATGTCTTCAGTGAAAGATCTTTTCTCCACAATAGCAGATGCATAAAACCTCCATATCTATCAAAGGAGTGTTTCCTTCCCTCACAACTCAATCATGAACACATAAATACTGTAGAAAATGTGATTCTGAAAGACTGGAACATCTTGTGCTGGTCTCACAAGTCAAGTAATTTTTACTGAGTTGTTATACTGAAAATTGGAAAACTAAACTGTAGTACTTTCAGAATTTCTCAAAGTTCAATTACTTACCAATCACTTGTAGAAATTCAGTGTTGCTGATCTGTGAATCACTAATGCTAAAGGTCTCTTCTTGTCTCACCTCTCCTAGCAGAAATCCCTCCTACAATTTAAAAAAAAAAAAAAAAAGACTAAAAATAGAAAAAAAACCTATATAGATTCATTTACTATAACTTTCTTAGCATTAAATGGAAGAATTAAAGGAGTTAGTTTGAAATACATATCTAAGCTGCAATAGGTATAACATGCCCTTAGGTTTACTGAGACGTCTTCTGATTTACCAACATCTTTTCTCAACACTACATGAATAGGTTGTCCAAAAGTAATGTTGTACCGAAACCTGCTGTGGGTAACACGCAACTTACACAAGGCAAACACAGATTACATAAAGCAGTGCTTGGCCTCCAGTCCCAGCTCTGCAGGCAGACAGTGGATGAGGAAGAGGCCTGAGCACGGTGCCCCGAGCCACTGCTGCTGAGTTCCTTCAAAGCTAACGGGAAGCAGAGCTCGCATCTGCAGAAGCTTACTCAATTTTATATATGGAGATCGGGCTGGACCTTGAACAGTGCCAGGGAACGTAAAACTCAGAAATTAACTGAAAGGCAGTTTTTATCCTCCGTCCCCACACCCCGAGCGAGGAGGGAGGATAAGCAGGAGTCAGGTGCTTTGGGCACAAGCGCGGAAACGGCGGCGCATCGCTTCCTGGCGCGGAGACAAGGGAGCGAGCTCTGACGAGAAGTTTGTCAACAAAAAGGAGGGATTTAAGAAACATCCCGGTTCCGGGGTTAGTAACCGCTGCTGGAAAGCCAGTGTTACTGCAACACTCGCTTCCTACCTAACAGATGTTTTCTACCTACAACCCACCCCTCGGGTGGATCCTCCTGGGTGACGGGGAGCGGCCCCCGGCCCCGCGGTGCCCGAGAGTCTCCCAGCCACCCAAACCGGGACCCTCTCCCCAGAGCCACCTCCGCGGCGAGGTGTCCGCATCTCCGGCCTGCAGAAGCCGAGCGGGGCCGCCGCCGCCGCCGGCCGTTACCCTCAGCCGGGGCCTGCCCGGCGGCAGCCCGGCGGAGGGAAGGCGAGCCCCGCCGCCCGAGGGCCGCCCCACCCCGCCTCCCCGGGGAGGGGTGAGGGGGCGGCGGCCCCAGGCACCTACGTGGTCGGCGCTGCTGTTGGCGCTGTAGTAGCAGACGGAACTGAACGTGTAGCCCGAGATGGAAGCCGCCATGATGAAGAACCGCCGCTGCCGCCGCCGCCGCCGCCGCGCCCACAACGCCCCGCGCGCGCACGGCCCGCCCACTTCCGGCGGCGGCGCAGGGGCTGCCGGGAAATGTAGTGTTCCCCCCTCCGGAGTCGCTCCTAATGCTAGAATGACGACGGGTTTAAAAATAAATTACAGAATTGGTACACCTCGCAAAAAGATCTCATTAAAAGCTAAATGCGTTCGTGAAATTTGAAGATCGTAGATAATGAAGAACATATTTTTTTTTTTTTTATTTTTGGTCATCCCTACGGATTGCAATGATGAAAACCCGGTCACCTGGAGCGTTCCGTTCCCTCAGAAGCAAAACTATAAAACGGCTCGATTTTTTTGAGGGAACTGATTCTCTCCCTCCAGCGCACGGAGCCGTGGCTCCGGCCAGCGAGCGGGAGTCCTCCAAGCGCCAGAGCGGCGTCCGCGGCCCCTCTCGCTGGTGCGCTCTATGGTGCCGCGGTGCTTCCGGGCCGGGCATGGCGGTGGCGGGATGGCGGCAGCCGGGGCCGGGGAGCGGGGAGGAGCCGTTCAGCCCCTCGGTGCTGGGCACCAGAGCGCAGTGAGTTCGGTGAACGCTGCCGCGGGGCGGGGGGGGCGGCGGCGGCGTTGGCGGGGTTCCTCCCGGTGGTCCTGTCCCGGGGAGCAGGAGGCCTGAGCTGCGCCCCGCCGCCTCCCCCTCTGGTAACCCTCAGCCTTCCCTCGGTGGGCATCGCCAGCTCGGTGTCACCACTTCACCTGTCGAGATGATACCGTGGATGTAATGTGACAGACCTACGTAGATACAGCCTTCTCAACCAGCCTTCCCCTCATTCTTTAACCGAAATATTTTCCCACTATTAATTGCAATATCCTCACCCTTCTTCCCTCCCGACTCTAGCTGGGATGCTGCGTATGAAAGAGAACTGCAAACTTTTCAAGACATTGGAGACGCTGGGGAAATTTGGTAAATAATAACTCCACTGGAGTGTTTCTGTTCTTTATAAGAATTAGACATTGCAAAAACACAGCCAGCAATTCAGTGGGTTACTGAATAGTTCTGGCTGCCTGCAAGATGATGGGTGATTTTAATCTTGAGGCCACCAGTTTCTCTTCTGTCCAGTTTCGCAATGCAGATTTTGAGGTTGCACTTGGACAGCTGTGAGCACATGGAAGGGCAGCTGGTACCTCTGGTGTATGTTACTAACAAAGGTGCTTTTTATCCCTGAGCTCAGGTTTAACTACACAAGTGGCCGGTGCTGCTGCCTTTTTTAATATGTGGAGGGCTCCACCTCCCAGAGCTGGTGTTTTGATGAGTTTTAAGGCCGTGTGATTAATCTTAATTTAAACAAAGCAAACACGGAATGCAAGCTATAGCACTTGTTACCCAAGTGCTCCAGTAAGAGGTGTTTTGCAAAAATTGGAGAGAGGAAGCGATTAAATAAATTTTCTCTCCCTTTTGTACGTTTTTGCTGTCTTAATTACCAGAGCTCTTGTTTCTCATAGGTTTGGAGAAGAAAGCATGGTTCGCATAATCAGATGGATGGAAAAAAAAAAGATCCCCCTTGACAGCTCTGTGCTTGACATTGGGACTGGAAATGGTGTTTTACTGATTGAATTGGTTGGTATATTGTGAAGTTTGTTCTTTTGATACAGAATCAGTGCTTCAAACGGAGTAGTTTAAACACAGTTCTCACAAGTGACAATATTGATCGTGGCAAGCTGTAACTTATGTGTAAAACAAAAAAGCAAGAAACCTAAATTAGATCTTATATTGTGTTTTTTTTTTCCCATTAACAGAACACTGGTTACTGTGCAGCAGGTTTTACATTTTTATTTGGCTTAAAGTGTAAGTGAAATTAACTTAGTGCTGTTGATATGCCTTAAAGAACATCCTGTCACAAAGACAAGGTGATTGCAAGTGGCTGCCAGACAGCCTGTGGGACTTGGGTATGTAGCTCCTTGAACCAGGAGTGCCATTAGGGAATGCAGACCTAGGATGTATGTTGTTCTACCAAATGGAAATACCTACTTTTTTTGGTAGACGTGCTCGGACTTCTCATTCCTTGGTGCTGCCCAGAGTATCAATACTTCAGATTTTAAGATTTGTGGTATTTCTTTAAAGCAATCAGCCCAAGTATCCCGTGTTTTAACTTTACCTTTCTGTTTTCCTACATTTAAAAATGCATTTCTTCCCATTGTTGTGTAAAACACCTCCAGATAAGGAAACCTACTAACACACAGTGCTCCATGTGCACAACCAGGCCCTTTCTCCATGCTCGGTTCTAATAACAACATTAATTATCGATGTAAAAAGTGGTTAAACCCAAGAGTTTTATGTAAATGACTTAAAAAGTTGTTAACACTTCTTTTCAAGAAGTGCCTGTTTCTGTCAGGGTGAAAACCCTTACCAGATACATTCTGAAGTGTTATAATGTTGTTGTTATACAATGATGCAAGATATTTAGGAGTTCCAGTATTTTTTTTTTCTATTTTTGATTGAATACTTGGTAGAATACTACAGGAGAGTTGGTAGAGAAAGGAGCTGTCACAGTGTCGCAGTTTCTGTTGTGCGACATTCTCCATTGGCTCCATTAGTTACTGTAGAAATTGAAAGGGCTGGAAGTCAGTCAGGTTTGTAATGGAATTTTTTTGAAGTTGGACTTTAGTTTTAGAAGAGTTTAAAGCCCTTATGGGGACTGTCTGCTACAGTGCAGCACAGAAGAAGTTATATCATCAAAAGTAGACATTTCTCGTCTCATTAAGAGAGATTAGCCTAATAATAATGATCATTAAATGCGATGGTAGCTAGCTCTATCATTGCTGAAACATCCAACAGAAAAATCTTATTTATAAGATTTCAATATTATACTGGCCCCACTTATAAATCCGAGATCGATTTTCATTCTGCAATGGGAAAATGACAGCCTGTTAGCTTTTAAAAACTATTAAACTGCTGTAAGAGCACCCTCCCCCCCTTACATTAAGCACCTCAAAGTGCCGTGGTTGCTTTAGTAGGAAATTTTGAGTCCATTCCCATTTGAAAAGTGACTTCAAAAATTACAATGTTGCTAAATAATTCAGGATCTCACTTGCTTAGTTAATGTAAAACATTTTTTTGTGTGTTAGCTGCTAGGCTTTGAAAATCAAGTTAGGATTCTTTTGGCAAGCACAGCAGCTTCCTTAGAACAGTTCTGCCACTGGAGTTGGACGCGGTAATTGGATAGAAATGGCAACACTGAGAAAGGTGGTCAGACTTCAGTCATACAGGACATCAGTAGCACCTCTTTAAAAGGTAGCTACTTGAGGGTACATATCGGCCTGTCATCAGAACAGGAAAAGGTGCCATAGAGTACAGTTTGTTGGGGAATACTGGACCCTGGCATGCCATTAATGGTAAGTAATAGTAATTGGGAATATAGTAAGAAAATGACTCTTAAATGCAGCCACGTCTAGGTGAGACATTGTTGGTTCCAGAAAGGAATATTGCACAAAAAGGAGGCTGAAGAATTCCATCTCTTTTAAGGAAATGCTGCTGCCAGATAGAGCTCTGGCCCTTTTTTTCTTTCTTTCTTTTTTTTTGTTTCCCTGAGCATTGTTGGGGCCAACAATACTAACAAACTTCCCTGAAGTGAAGGGTATTCACCACCCGAAGAGGGTGTCTACCTGGCAGCACCGGAGGCCCAGACATGGGGCAGTGCTGATAACATTGCAAACCACCTTCTACTATTTAATCTGCTTTTTCAAGAAGCAGCAGCAGCAGAGTGCATATGATAAATAACACCTTCAGGACAGGAGTCCAGTGGCAGGATGTAGCAGGGTCACCTTTGGCACTTGAGTGCATGATCCCTTCCTGGCCATATGTAGTCAGGCTGTACAGGTTTAGCAGCATTTAATGTTGTTTACCCTTAAACTTTCTTTCTCTGCCTGGGAGACTATAGGAGTGAATGGGAACTCCCTGAAATGACTCAAGATCTTCCTTTCCAAACAGAGGAGCTGTTGTGAGAACTGCTGTTCCACCCCCAGGTCTTTAGCACAGGCATCTCAGGAAGCTTGGTTTGCTCTGGGGAGGAATGTGGGCAGAAGCCTGAGCAATATGCTGTTCTTCATCAAATGCAAACAACGTGGTCTTTGTGTTTAACTGAAATTACTCCTCAATTAAGAACAGCTGGCTGGCACTGAGCTCACATGGGCTGAAGGGCTGCTGGAAGGAGGAATGACCATTTAAAAAAAAATTATTGTTGTAGTTATCGCTGTCGGAGTATCAGCTTTTGGAACAAGTAGATACACAGCTGATTGCTTAATGCTAGTTAAAGCCCACGTATTGTTCAAAAGCAAAACAAACCCAAGCCTCCTGCCTCTCTCTGCTGTTACTGCCTGCAGCTGGCCGTAAGATCACAGCTCTTCCTGTTAGGTTTGGATCTAGCCAGACCAACCAACACACGTGATACCCAGATCTGCTCACTTCAGCTTCGACCTCAGAGTGAAAATGTGTCACTGCCCCTCTGCCACGTGCCCAGCTCCAGCTGATGCAAGGTGCCCACCTGCTTTGCAAAAGGGTTGCTGGGATCTCACTGCCTGAGTTCGCTGAACTGGGTTATCGTTATCTACTCCACAGTTAGATGAACAGGAAGTCTCTGTGCTCTTTTATGTGGTGCATAACCTGCCTGAAAATTGCTGATATAAAGACCCTGTAGCATGCAAATAATTACAGTCAAATAGACATTAGCATGAATAACTAGAAAAACATAAGGTTTTGCATTGGGTTTCTGTAGTAATAAAACATATTCTGTATTTTGGCTCTTACTATTTGGGTTATGCACCAAATAATTGCTCGATCTCAAATTTTATGTGTCAGAGAGGTTTTCTTCTTACTTTGAAGCATCTGACATCAGCACATGTTCTCTTCACTGAGCATTCCTGGTTTCTAGGTTACTTTTGGTGCAGATAAGAGAGCCTGTTCCCCTCCAGGATGTTACTTTTCACAGATCTGCTCAGTTTTCCACTTGTTGACATAAACCAGCTTTCAGTCAACAGTTCTGTTGATGAGATATTAGGCAGAATGGAGTTAGTTCAGCTTGTTCCCCCAGGTGTTTAGCTCTTGTAATAACAGGAATAAAAATGAGTAAAAGCGGGGTTTTTTTCTGTCATTAAGAGGAAGAAAGACAAGATCAATTATAGATGGGGAATACACCTGTTGGATAAAAAAATTGCTAGCACACTAATTAAGATTCTCTGCTTCTGTCTAGGCCAAGTCTGGCTACATGAATCTCACTGGGATTGATTATTCTCCTTCTGCAATACGCCTTTCAGAAAAAGTAAGAGAGAAAGAAGGGATGTCTAGCATCAAATTAAAGGTAAGTTTTGAGAAAAAGTTTGTTGAGGAAATAGAAAGCAATTGAACCCAAGATTAATGACCTAACTGATATTCAGATGTACTCAGTGTACTCTATTAATGATGTCTTTTGACATTCATTTGCGAGAGAACTCTAACCAAATAAATCTGTATTTATGAGAAGATTTTGGGTCTTATTTTTTTTTGTTTGTCATTAGGGGTAACAAGATTTCCCCGCTTCTAGCAGGGAGCAGAATAGTGGTTTGCCATTTGGCAGGTTCTGCATTTTAGCTACTACATTCTGAATTTCAGATTTGGGATAGAGGATGAAATCCTTAGGTGATAGAATCCCTACCAGTGGCTGTGCAGCAGGAAGTTTGAGCGGCTGGGCTGGACCAGATGACCTCCAGAGGTCCCTTCCAACCTCAGCTACCCTGTGATTCTGTGACTGCCTTTCATTCTTAGCTCTTTGGTATGCTGTTTTATCCTCCAGCTCTGTACCCATGTGATGTCTCTGTTCCTGTATGTCAATTGTAATCACTTTGTGGCAGGCATTGTCTATTCTTCTGTATTTGTACAGTGCCCAGCATGCAGCACCTAGGAAACTAGGCATCAAAGTACAAATAATGATTTAAAGAATGAACTTCAAGTATGTTAGTTTGAGCTTTAGATGTATAGTTTTTACAGGCTTTACAGCAAATAGATCGTCGCATAAATACATCGAGAAGAGAGAAGCTGGTATGTCATTGTAGGTGTGAAAAGCCTGTGAGTTACCCTATCCTAAACACAGCTATTGTCAGGTTTGAGGCTTTTTATTTTAAAGTATTGGTTTGCGTTAAAGCTTCAGGAGCTCCTGAGTAGAAGATTGCTTTCACAGTTGTAGACTTCTGGTTTAGGTAGAAGACTTCCTGGCTCCATCAGCTGAGCTGTCAGGATTTGAGATTTGTATTGACAAGGGGACTTTTGATGCCATAAGCCTTAATCCCGATAATGCGGTGGGAAAGAGGAAGCAGTACGTGAGATCTCTCTGCAGTGCATTGAAACCAGAGGGCTTTTTCCTCATAACGTCTTGCAACTGGACCAAGGAGGAGCTGTTGAACGAGTTCAAAGAAGGTAAGCAGTTGAACAGAACTGTCTGCCAACTTATGGTTGTTCAAGGATGCAGCGAGTAAATTTTAATGTCTGTGTTGGCGTATTGACTTTCTCAGATCAGGATTAGATAAGGTAAGGTGACTAATAAATGCTTCAGCCTGTCTTCCCCCCTATTTTCCTCAGGAATTACAGCTTCTGCGTTTGCCAGTGCCAGCGTGCCAAAGGAGGACAGGTTTTGTTACACTTTAGAGGACGAGGATTTCACTCTAGTTAGACTGGGAAAGTGTATATACCTGGGTGGTACTCTTCTGCTCCTTTATTACCTGATCCAGTTCACCCCTCCCGATTTCTTTGAAATCAGGGTAACATTTTTACCCATGTTTAGGGGAACCGGCCAGTCTGTGACCATGACCTTTTATGTTAACTCCTCAGTGACCTTTGTGATCCACTCAAAAGGGTGTTCTTTATGTGCCAGTTAGCTCCTGAATCTCATGGCTGAGGCTTGAAACTCAGTGTGGATCTAAAACAACCGTCCCTTCTGGAGAACTAAAATTACTGGCAAGTTTTCATCTTTTCTGCCATTAATTTGTGTGAGTCAGCCAGCTGAGAATTTTATTATCCATGGAAGGGTTTCAGCTGTATAAAGCAGCAGTGCAGTGTAACAATACAGTCCTATAAACTTACAGAGTAACTGACTTGCAAGTTTTCCAGACAAATAAAGAATGGTTTGCAAAGGGTTATCCAAGAGGAGAATAAAATTACTTCCTTCTAATAAAAGCATTTTAATTTCTGTCTGGCAGGATTTGAAATTCTGGAGGAGCTGCCAACACCCAAGTTTTGCTTTGGAGGAAGAATTGGAAACAGTGTAACAGCATTGGTTTTCCAAAGGAAAAAAGTGAGGCCATCCATCTTGGACAAATTAGATTAGTTGAGAAAAGTCTGAACTTTAAACCTGACAGAAAACCTCAGACACGTGTGTAAATAAATGCTCTTTGAGTACACAGTAAAACACTATGTATGGAACTCTAAGGGACTATAAAACGTTGCCCTAGAAACATTGCAGCTTTGCATAACTTGCCTGTAAATTTTGTCCTTGCTACAACCTTGCTTGTTTTAGGGAAGCTGCAAGTTTTTAAGTGAGGGAGAAATAAGGCATTGTAAATATGAAGACGAATGTAACTGAATGGTATTTGTGTTTAGAACATAAAGATTATCTGGTATTTAATTTCTGCATTGCTAATCAGTGACCAACAGAGGTAAAGGTATTCTACAGAGCAAAAATCTCATTTCTCTGTTGTGCAGTATAATAGGGAACAAGCTTTTGCAATGTAAGTGCTGGATTTTTTTTTCTTCGGAGCTCTTAAGGAGGGAAATCAATATAAAAGCCATAGCACTTGCAAAAAAGGACCAGCTAGTGCTTTAAATTCAGATTTTCAGAGGTTCTCAGGCCCGGCATAATTCTGTCTCCACTGAAATAGCTCAACTTTTCCCACAGAGGGAGTGTTTTAAAAATCTCACTTTGACATGTCAAAATCATGCTTTGTCAGTTATTTTCACTTATCTCATAAATCCATAAAGGTGTGATGTTACAGTCTCACTAGCATGTGACATATGCCTCCTTCATTATTAATTTGCTACATAGTATTGTCTTGATAGCTAACAATGACTATATGTTTTCCAGTGAATTTCTCAGGACAGATGTTAGCTGCATAAATCCAAAAGCATAACTATCCATTCCTTTGTTCCTTTTTTTTTTTTTTTTTTTTTAAACTTCTGTATGTGATCCTTTTGCTTAATTTATTTACATTTGTTTCTTCTGTGGTTTTGCATTTTAAGAATATGACTGTTGCTTGAAAGGTAGGAAAACGAGATTTCTTTATGCTTAGACAAACACATTTGTAGGTGACAATAAACCTGTGCTTTCAAACATCAAGGAGGCCCTATTAGGCAATCAGGTTTTGTTTCACAGGCAAGGTCATGTTTGCTTATCAGAGAATTGCTTCTCCTAGTTTCCAGACTTCTAGTTCACAAAGTTCAGGAGAGATTTAGGGGTCAAGAAATACTTCTAGTGCTTTCCCAGGGTAGGAAATAAGGCATTTTTTGCATAGTGGTGTGTCTTCCCTCTGTGATCCATCTGGTGATGCCTTCGAGGTAGGAATCCTGAATTCTGCACCTTTTTACAAAATGGGAAATACTGATTCCATTGGAAGAATGGTCCACCAGCAGTGGTGGGAGAGTTTAGTTCCAGTGAATAGCTCTGTGTGTATTTGGCCAGGCCTGGGTCCCTAATTCAAGTGCCAAAACCACGGTCTTGTTATCATTTGGGTAACTACTGTAGGGCGATGTACGGCATCTGCCCAGCAGCCTTCCAGCAGCCAAGAGGAGTGCTTGAAATGTAAGTGGTGATTCAGAGGATTTTTTTGATGAGTAGTACAAAGGATTCAAAGTACACTGCTGATAACAACCTCAATAAAAAGACTACGACATTTCTGTAGGCAATTTGGCATCAGGTAGAGTTAATACAAGCAGATTTTAATTGGCAAGTACTCTGGCAGGATGTGGTTAGGGCATCTGTTTTATTCCCATCTGTAATTTTTTTTAATGAAGGCATGATATGTATTTAATCATAGAATGAAAATAAATTCATGGCTGTCATGGATTTTCTTTTAATCAATTAGGAGGAATTTAACTACAGTTTCACACTTCATAAGATATGTAAGGTTCAGGGCAAGTATTGTTTTCTCCTCTTCATAGGATTGATTATTGTTACATTTTGTTCTCTAGGTAATATTTTTACATCATTTGTAAAGCTAAAAATAAGCTTCTTAAAATGGTTACGCAGGAATTTTAGCATCAGAAATCACATGTGTCATGTAAGTTATGATCAACCACTTTCAATTAGTATTTTTAGCAAGGCTTTTGGAAGCAATGATAGTAATTCTTTGTTTTCTCTTGCTATCATGTTGCTGATTTTCGAACTTTCTGGAGAACTATTGTATTTCTTTTTGTAATTATTTCTTTCTGTATGAATTAATTTTATAACATGGAGACTTCTTAGTGGTAGGGCAAGACTGAGAACCAGTCTCCCCTTCCAGCCTACCTCATTATTTGCCTCAAGTAATGGATTATTGAGGGCTTCCACTTCAAGCATTTCCCTGCCACTTCTGGACTATATATAGCTCCGCAGGCAGCAAGCCTTCAGAGATAGCATGTGGTTCCTCTGCTTTACCTTTTGGCATTGTGGGATCTAGTCATAAGGTGGAGATACACAAATGAACACCACCACTAAAATGTCATCCTGCTGCCCGAAGGTGCTGTGGGGCTACTGTTAGCAGCCTTAAATGCTGGTTGTCTGGAGGAGTTTGGGACAGGAATGTGTTTTTCCCATGGGCAAGGGTCTGGGCTTTGTCCATAGGCAGTTATCCTCACGTCTCCATGTTGTTCTGGGGCAGAATTCACATGCCTATCTGCTTCTCAGGTCTATACAAAAATTTTCTAGTAATATGCTCACAAAAGTTGAAAAGACGGAGCCTGCAGATAGGTGTCTTTACAGGGGGGAAGGGTAGGGAGTGGAAAAATGGAGTGACCCTCACAGGTGGAGAGGTTTTGATTCTGAAACTTGTCATGGCCCCTCTTTAGTCTCAAACGAGCCTACAAGCTGTTGCTTGAAAGTAATTTCTGCATCTGATCTGTAGTTTGCATATTCTCTGACAGGCCCAAGCACTTTCAGGTATCCCTGGAGAGTAGAAAAATGCTTGTAAAACATGTTTAAGGAGATTTATGGCAATAAAAATATTATTTTAATAATTATTTTATGGTTACAAAGGCTTACTATTTAAAATATGCTCTTGGAAACCTTGTATTTTTTGAATAATGGACTCTAGGTAGCAATTCTGATGCTGACTTAAGAAATGGCTTTTTACTGACTAGTAGGGTTTGGAAATGACATGTCAAAAAATGTCCTTGATTGGGACTGATTCATCTTGCTAGATGGTTCTTCATGAAGGTGTGATCTCTAAAAGTTGATGCTTTTCAATGAAAAACCTCTTACAAAAAAGAGGCAGATGAATAAGCAGTGAGTTAGGAGGAGTGAGTCTTTGCTTGTAGTTTGGGGAGGGCTTCATGGTAGTTCCTGAAGGCTGGTAGCCTGTTGTGTGATTCAGTTTCAGATGTAATGCCAGACTACAGGAGAATAAATGCAGCATTTGAAATATGTTCTACTCCTGTTGTTTTCCTATCCGAGGAATGTGTATGTGATTTCACTGTCAAATATGAGGTTTGTGGGTAGTAAAACGTAACATCTTCCATGGATCTCAACAGCAGTTGAGCCCACAAGACTTTCCCTGCAGTACAGAGTTTAGCTTGGATGATGCTATAGAGCTGGCATACCTTTCTGGATCTGGGTATAGTTTTGTATAAAACATAGGCAGAACAGAGAGGGTTTATGTTCCTTTGTTGATCACCAACATGCTGAAGGATGAAATTCTCTCAGTGCCAGTGGGTTTTGCACCTGACTTCGTAAGCCAGATACCAAGCTGAATGAGATGCCTGGGAAGGGAAGGGAGGTGCTAGCCAGTGTCCTCCAGAGGGATCCAGAGCCTTGAAGTCTCTCCCTTTCTCCCTAAGCAATTAAACCTCAAGATCAGATGCAAGCTAGACCTCGTCTTCCCAGGCAGGTGTTTTCAGTGGTAGTGTGTGCAATTTCAGTGGTACGTGAACTACTTGGAACCGGTAGTTCTGAGCTGGGTTGCGTGGATCGTGGTAGCCTCTCTGTACTGACTTTTTCTTCCAGGCTTTTAGTACATAAACCCTAACAACAAGCACCTCCACCAACATCTGCGTTTGGCGCAGCTCAGACATCCGATAACCGACTCCTGATACTTGCTATTGCCGAGCAAACTGCATTTAGGGATTCTCTTTTGAGGCATTTACTGCGAGATGCCATTGTATCTGTTTTGGGGCTTCCACCACTGAAAGACCTTGGAGCATTTTACCCTGGATTTTTATGGGGCATATCGGGGAAGTGAACTGTCAGGATGAAATATCTGAAAGAGGAGATCAAGTGAAATTAATGCAATAAGTATTGATTTGAGATGTCAGATCTAGGGGAGTTTCTACACATGGGACTCTCTTAGAGTGTAGGGTAAATAGGTTCTCAAGACAAAAAGCCTTTGCCCTTTCAGCATCACGGTATTTTCCAGAAGTAAATATTTCTATAACCATGTTTATATAAATTAAAAAGTGAGAAATACCAGACATGAAAATCGTGACACAACTAAATAACTTCAGAAAATTCAGAGGGAAGGATAATATTCCCTTACTCCTTGACTTCCCTTTTAGTGACCAACTTGCTATTTATAAGAATGTATGTTCATTTAACAGTCCTTAAGGAGCAGGAATAGTCAACTGCAGTGCTGTCTGTAGACTGGTTTATAAATGCTAGTTTTTTTGGAAGGCTTAGAAGATAAGGAATTAATATTCTGTTCTTGAGCAACAGTATAATTCTGTGGTGTAAAATGAAGCATTTCTGGGAGGTACAATTTTTTTAAAAGAGCTGTTGGGTTACATCAGAATCACTAACGGAATTATGACCAAGCATGTAATTACAGGCTTTCTGTCCCATCATGAGAATTTTTCTTCATTATTGAGAGCATCAGGTTGAGATAACTGTTCGCGTTATGGGCTCACCCTCTCAATTTCAAATCCAGTGCTGCAGCACCATTTCTGAAAACCAGGAATGGCCAGCTGCCTTGATCGTTTCACAGGATTCGGGGTGTTTGACACCTCTAGCAAAAGGAGACTCACACCTTTTTTTTATATTTTACTTTTTCAACCAATGTGAGAAAGGAGCTTTCAAATGTTTAGGTTTTTAATCTTTCCATTGCTGTCTACAGGAGAGCTGGTTATGCTTCAGTAAAGAGGTGCATATCCTACCGCACAGGTCTCAGGCGTGAGTCTCAGGAGAGCAAGTAAGGTGTGCAATAAATAGTACTGTGAGCAGACTGCCCCACACCTTCAGTGCGATAATAAGGTGTTTCAAAGACTGCCCACGGGGTACCAATATGGAAGCTGTGCCCGTGGTTCAGGATTTGCTGTACAGAACCGGCGTGCTCTCAGGGGCTGGGCTGACGTCCTCAGGGAGTTTGCGTTATCCTTGTCTTCAAGTGATGAAGAAGATTCTTGTCTGAGGGAACATGTCTGTGGCTAGAAATGGAGATGTTCGCTCACACGATTTGCATCTAAATGACTTCAGTCCTGCACAGGTTTCTGCTGCAGGCTGTGACATCCGTGGGTCAAAGGCCTGAATGGGCAAACGAGGGGATGAACTGAAGCCACTCACTTTAGAACAACTGGGCTTTGTGTCCGGGTGTACGAGGTGAAGCCACGTGGCAAGCTAGATGGCTAACTGTGAAGCTACGGAGCTGGGCTGACACTGACCTTGGCAGCTTCTTTGAACTTATTTTTATGTGAGGATGAGTTCCTGAATAGCTTTTCTGGTAGATTAGGCACAGCAAGCTTTTCTTCATGGCTGACACTGGCTTCCATGTATTTCCATGTTCCAGGAATGCACTGGCAGCACTGTAGCCATTGTAAGGAAAATCTGCAAATACACACTCTGCTATGTCCGTTCTACTGTGTTCCAGGCTGCCTGGTAAAAGACTGCCAAAATTTATGTTATTTCATACCAGATGAAATCCTTAAGTATGGTATTTAGCAACATACAGCAAAATTTTCAGTGTTTTGGCACTCGGATTGCTTTCCTAATCTTGGCATGCCGAAAGGTAAAGAACACGACTTGCTACAACAATAACTGCTTTATTTTATAGGCCCTCTAAGCATTCTAACATATCGAATCGTCTCCTGTAAAATATGTAGAGAGCACATAGCAAATAATCGGGCCAGGGCTTTGCATTGCTGTAAGGAGATCTGCCTTTGCATTCCTGTTGCTCGCTGCCTTTTCTGGGCTCAGAGGAGAGGAAGGCTGCGTTGCGCAGCGTCACCTACCCCTTGGCTGGATGGGTGGCACGGATGCCTGTGGAGGGGACATCTCTATCGTATGCCTTGGCTGGAAGTACTTGAGCATGACCCAACCTTTATGGGTAGCAGCTAAATTGAGGAACAATTAGTGGATACCCAGAGCTTTCGCTGAAAGGGGATGAGGTGTTCCAGCCTCAAGACAAAGGAGAAAGAGGAACGCTGGCGTGTTCTATTTGACACAAATAAGGGAAAAGCCAACTTAATTTCCATTTGTTAGGTAACAGTATAGCTTGAAATGAGCCCATTTCTAGGTTACTGGAAATTAAACTGAGTGCTGTCAGGCAAACAAATGATGTATCTGCAAGGTAGCATATAAATTCTGGATAATCGCAAGTGCGTAAGCCGGTGCTGGAGAGCCAGAGCTAATAAACAGTAGTGAGGGAACGGAAACGAACCTCAGCCCAGTCACTCCAGCGGCCAAGTATTCATGGACAGTGTCACATGTCAGGCAGAGGTGGGAAGAATGTGCATTTATTGAGTAATTTGAAATGTTGATAGGGTTGTGAGCTGAAACCTCTCATTAGCAGCACAGAGACGTGCACGCACGGTGTGATAAGCCTGCACCCAGCCTGAAACACCGACCAAGAAAAGGCAGGCTGAAGGTTCATCAGTTAGATTTTTTTTCTAGTGCTTCCCCTAAAAAACGAGTTGGTGTTTCAAGCATAAGGATCTAGGCCTTTTCGCCTCAATTTGCAGTAGTAATTAGCCTCGCTGACTGCTGCCCTACCCTAGGGCACCTGAACTCCACAGGTACTGCATTTCTGTTTATCCAACACAGCGTGCTGCTTTGGGGCATGTCCACAGCTGCCTGGGTTTTCGTGAATGATGGACAACAAACTCTTTGGCTTACCTTAAACCGATTCAGATGCAAACATGGCAGAAAAAGTGATTAGTGCATTCAAGTGAGAGGGAGGGTTCACATACGTGTTTCATGGTCTACTTATTTTATCTGTCAACTGTTTCCATTGCACCTAGCCAGGGCCAGCCCGTCACTTGCGCATGTGCAGCAAATAACCTTTGAAATAAAAAGGATTGTTAGGTTTGGTGCAAATCCCATCATATGCCAAATGTAGTAAGAACTACCCTTGTCATTACAACTCCCTCTGCACAGCGGGCGCTTCACTGGTTTAGGGTGTTGTGTCTCCTTGATTCAGATACCCTCAGACCTAGAACGTGTTGGTCGTATTACAGAGATGTGCTTGTTCTCTGGATATGAAATATTTGTTAAAAATACTTCTGCTCACTGTTACTTAGATTCTGTGGATTTCAGGATTTCCCCTGAAACTGGAGTATGGCTGCTGAAACCGGAGTCCATTTTGTGCTGTTGGAGACTTTCAGTGGAGCCACGATGTCCCTGTGAGTAGGCAGGCCCCAGCACAGCCAGGTAGCTGGGACATCGGCCTGAAACTGGGACTCTCTGACTCTCTGCTTGGCCATGGGTGAGTCCTTTGCCTGGCAGGAGAAGCAGAAGAATAAAACCATAAATAACTGGGATTGCTCGGGTGCTCAGAAGAACAGCGCAGAGTTGTTGGGTCATCATGAAAAGGACACGTCTGAAATTATTAGCAGCCATGGTGTGTAGGAGTTGAATAACAACCAGCTGGAGTAGACAGCAAAGCGTTAGAAAGGCAACACAGAAAGCAGGCTGTAACTGCAGCCAAGTCCTGTGCACTGGAAGTGATGGGAATTGTGTCTGTCCCCAGGGCTCAGCACTGTTACATCTAAATGTTTTAATGACTTGGACCTCAGTATAATTTCAGGAGGATTGTGGGGATCGTTAGCTTTTTTCCTACCCACAGTGTTTCCATCTCTGTGAGAAAGGCTTCTAATCAGTGGGTAGCAAAGGCGCTGACATCCGAGACAAAAACACAAATTAAATCAGCTCCGAATTTAACTGAATGAATTTTCTGTCCATGATGACTAAACTCACATGCCCAGTTCTTTAAAGCTTGAAAATTATTTCCGTCTTTTCCCCTTCTGACAAAGATCTGCACTATCACCAGAGCAGGGACCTGCGGCCAGCCTTTGCAGTTAAACAAGTTTACTGAAAATACTATGTGGAAAACAGGTTTATTCTTTGGCAACGGGCTTTGACGCACGCTGGTAACGCTCCTCAGCCAGCTCATCTGTCGGGAAGCGCAGCGGATGAGAGGTACAAAATGCTGGGTTTGGACCGAGCTGCAGCAGCAGCCAGAAAGCAACCTTCTGCTTCGTTCTTGGGAGACCACGCCTGCGCTGCACAAGGCTGCCACGGGAACGGATTCAATTACGCTGCAAGCTTTATTACTGAAATATTCAGCTGGGAAACCATAAGAAAACATTTTCGAGCTTGAGTCTCAAAGTTCTGGAAAAGGAGTTTGCAAGTGTTTTATTGCTACCCTTCTGCATACGCGATAAGGAAAGCAACTACTGAGTGGGGTGGAGGAGCTTGCTGCAAAGGCCCCTTCACATCATGAAGCCCTTTTCCCCGTTGGTAGCCCAGTCCCGCTGGCTGCTCCTGCCTAATTTTATACGTACCGAGCGCGGAGCCACTATTGTTGAGATCAGCCCCCGCTACGTTGGCGGGAGCCGCTCCCTCGTCAAATTTTCTCCCGCCACTTCTGCTTACTTATCTCTTTTCTTCTTCATTATATTAAATACTGATACTCCTCCTCGACATTTTGCTGGTATGTTGGGCCATGCATCAGCGGGGCAGGACACTGAATTACTGCTGGCTTTCCCAGCTAAAGCCTCCCTTGCCGCTGGGTGTGCCCGTGCCCCGACTCGTTCCCGCTTGCCATCCCCAGCAGCGTGCCCGCCCGTCCAGCCGGGTGGATGAAATTCAGCCCCAGATTCATTCCTGGTGCCATCCATCCGCGTTGTCTGCTTGCGTACGTTCAAGCTTAATGTTTAAGGCTCGATTTTTGTGATGAGTTCTAAATCTTCCTTTCGGCTGTCACGTAGTTTCCTTGCTCGCTGATCACGCTCGCTCCCGGGAGGAGCCTACGTGCTGTGCACAGTTTGGCATGAAGGGATGGAAAAATGTTATTGTTAGAGCAGATTGCTTCTAAAGGCCACCTGCCAAGCAGATGCCTCTTTGAATACCACAGAGGACCCATGGCCACCTTCAGCCTGGCAGCATTTTGCCGCACTTGTCTTCTGTCAAATGCCTCTTCCCAAAAGAAATGCTGGGAAAAGGGAGGAAAGGTGAGGAGTGGGATTTTTTTTTTTTTTTTTTTTTTTTTCTCTGAATCCCGGTAGCGGGTGGTTCTGTGATGGACTAAAACTTCAGGGCTACTCCCTGCGGGGACCCTTCGCGGGCTCTGGTGGAGTCCCGCTCTCCTCCTCCCCGCCTCCGGCCGGCCGTGCCACCAGGAGTCACTCTCGGCCCTCCGAACGGGGCCGCGCAGCCCCACGCGAGTCCGCGCCCGGGCTGCGGGGCTGCCGTGAAGGCGATGACGAAGGGGCAGCAGCGCCACGCACGCCGCCGAGCCGCGGCGGTCCCCGTCATCCCGCACCCCCGCGACTGGATTTTATTTTTTTTTTTAATAATTATTATTAATTTTGCGTGTTCCCACACTCCCCCCCCCCCCCCCCCCCCCCCCCTCCCCAGCTCTTTCCGGGCGGTGTTGAACCCCGGGGACGCCCGTTCACCCACCCCCCCCACACACACACACACACCCCCTCCGGTGCGCGGGTGCGGTGGGGGGGGGGGGTGTGTGTGTGCTCCTCCGGTCTCCGCAGGTGCGGAGCGCGGCCCTTCCTCCGCCGCCCCCCCCTCAGGAAGTGACAAGCGCATTTCCTCCTCCCTCCCTCCCTCCCTCCCTCCGCCCGCCCCGCCCGCAGCACGGCGGCGGCGGCGGCGGCGGCGGCAGCGGGAGCGCGGCGCGGAGCCCACGGCCGGGCCGCGCCGCCGCCCCCACGGTAAGCGGCCTGGCGGGGAGCGGGGCCGCGCCGCGCTGTCACTCGTGAGGTGGGTGGGTGTGTGTGTGTGTGTGGGGGGGGGGGGGGTGTGTGTGTGTGTCCCTCCGTGTCCTCCCGAGGTGTGGGTGTGGGGGGGGTGGCGGACAAAGGGCGGCGGTGCGCCCCGCTATAACGCGGCGGGATGTCGGTGCGGGGAGGGGTGGGTGGGTGGCCCCCCCGCCGAAGGGTGCCCAAAGCGCTGCGCATCCTCGCCGCGCCTGTGCGGAGTGGGCTTGGTGGGGGGAGAGGAGGGGAAGGAGGGGGGGGGGGGGTGCTGCAAGCTTTTGTGCCGCGGGGTTCTCGCTTCCCGCCCCCCGCCCCGCGGTTGCTCGGCCCCACTCGGGGCACCCCGGTGTTGCGCGGTTCGGGCGCGAAGGAGCGAGGTCCCGAGGGAAGGAGGTGCCCGCGGGGGTGTCCGCTGGCGTGGGCTGCGTGCCGTGGTGCCCGGCGCTTGCCGCAGGAGAGAACCGTGCCGGGATGGAGTTTGGGGGGGGGGGGGGGGGGGGGGGGAAGGCGGCCTCCCCAAAGCTTAGCGTGCCCCTCCTCCTCGGGTTACTCTGCCTTCGCCTCTCATTTCTTCCTCCAAATGCATCAACACGTGCTTGCCTTTCCCCGGGCCGGGAGGGGCTGACATTTGGATGTGGGTGAGCTCGGTAGGAAAATCCCCAAGCTCGGGGGGGGGGGTGGGGGGGCTCACGGAGGGGCTGCAACCCCCGGGGAGCTGGGGATGAGGTTGAGCATCGCTGCGGAGATGCTCTCCGGGCTGGCCGGCGCCGTGGCACACGCTTCCCCGCCGTGCCCTGCCACGCTTTCCACGCCGGGCGTGTGCGAGGAAGAGCGCGGTGGCCAAGGAGGGGTGCGGGCCTGTGCTGACCCCCCCACCCCGGGGTGGGGTGGGGGGTCCCCGGGGCCAAACGCTGCTGCGGCGAGACAGGGCAGCTCCTTGCTCTGGAAAGTGCCCTGGCAGCCGAGCTGTCCTAGAAAGTCTCTTAAGTCTTGTTTCTCCATTCAGTGACGTCAGGTTATTCAAATTGTATGGCATGTGAAGATTTCGCGTCTAGCTGTCCGTGAAGATTTCGTGAATAAGGGTTTTCCTCCTCCATAATTTTGGGATTTAACTCGCTTGACGGAGGGAGCGGGTTTGCGAGAGCGCGGTGCCTGTCACTGGGTAGTGCCGCCGTCCCTCTCTGTGCCGTGCGGTCTCCACCAATGCTGGTGTACCTTGGCAGCACATCCCCTCCTTGGGAAATCCTCTGGAGTAAAAAGTAAGCGTAATTTGTTATGAAATAGGCCGATAGACCAAACTTCAGTTTGCGATTGAAACCAGATGTGCATATTTTCCTTTTGAATCCTCAAACAATAATAAAAGTCTATTTTGACAGATTAAAAACTACTTGCAAATTGCAGAGGTAGCAGTGCCTTGCAATAATACTGCGGAAACACGGAGGGCTGTGAGCATCTCTGCCTGCCTCTCACCAATATCGGGTATCTCTGAGTGCAGGAGCCCGCTGCTGCGTTCCCTCTGATTGCAAAGCACAGATTCTCTCAGCCTGCCTCTGATGCGGGTAGAAATATTTACCAGGGTTTGGCTGAGGGCTGGAAATAGAAGTAAAGAAACCCCAAAACAATGTAGATAATGTTTCTAGAGAAAATATTTGGGGTGGGTCATGAAACAGATTAATTAGAGTGATAGTAGAAAACCTGAATTTCAGAGCGGTTTGCTCTGTCCTTACCTGTCGTGGCTCACTGTAGGTTTGAGGAGAGCCTCTGATTTATTTCTTCGTTTTTAAAAGTCCTCCGGAGCCTGAGGATGCTTGCGGTGGTGGGTGTGTTAGACCTGGCTCTGCATGGCTGGGCTCAGAGGTGTGAGATTAGGGCTGTTCACCCCATGCTGGGGACACTTGTCATAGAGAAGGACACAGCCTTTTTGCTTTCAAAAGTGTGTGTGTGGGGGGGAAAACCCAACCAGAAAAACCCAACCAAACCAACCTGCTGTGGAATTGCTTCCTGCTTTCCACTTCAAAGGAGTGAAGGATGCCCCCCCCGCCTCGTGGAACACGGCCACACGTGCCGGCGGTTTTGCAGCTGAATCCCTGAATCCAGACTTTCTCACTTCCAGGTTCAACCCAGAGGAGGGAGGGAGGGGAAACTTCTGTGACTTCCAGCTCTGCACAGGGCCAAGGTCTCCAAGAACCGCTTCAGTTCTAGAAAGCAGATGGCCTTTGGGAAGATCAGTAAGAGCTCAGGCTGTCAAATCCCAAACTTTGCATGTCAAATCAGGGCAAATCGATTCAGTGGATAATTGATTTTTGTGGGTAAGATCCAGATTCTTATATATGGAGATCAAGGCGACTGTGGGACAGAGCCGGCACCGATGGAGGCTCGTTTTCAGTTATGGAACCTGCATAAATAAATACATGTGCATAAATATGCACACAGGTAGACACATACCAATATAAATCCCCAAATCTATTTCAGTTAATTATATGTAATTAACTTCTTTTTGGTATCAAAGGCTTGCTTCACTTTCAGCAAAGGTATCGGTAGAACGAGACATACAACTTTTTGCCGAAACACCTGTATTTCTGTGCAGAGCAGGCACGATGGACCATGTCCTGAAGGGGGATAGAGAGGAATGAGGTTTATCCAATTTGTCCATTTTATTATTACTGGCTGACTTCTGATGTCTCGAATGACAGCTGCGTGGTTTGAGGCTGTTCTTCCCTTTCTTTCTTGTAATGTTGTATAGAGTTTCTTTTCTTTATCTTCATCGGGATGGAGGTAGTTTGTTCTTCCCTTGTTAAACCTCAGGTAGAAAAGAGAACACTCCAGGTCGAACGGGCTGATTTTGTTCCCTTCCCCCTCCTGTATCACGTGGTTTGTAGAATGATTTTGCTGGGAAATAGTCCTATTGAACATTAATCTGTGGCAGAACAGCCTTTGGACCAACGCGCTGGGGCAGGATGAGGTGCCAGAGATGCTCACAGCTCTTCGGAGAGCTCAGCCCAGAGGGCTCGGGTCTCCTTCCCTCTTCCTAGGTCTGCACTCCCCAAAACTCTATCGCAGAGAGAAAATACTTCCAGAAAGACAAGCCCATGTTTTCTTCCCACAGCTGTGGGCGACCAGACCAGCAGAGGAGCTGGGGAGGTTGCTCCTCTGTAGCTCTTCAAGCAAGGTCTCTTCGTGGCTGACTTTTTTTTTTTTTTTTTTTTTTTTTTATTGCTCCTTTCTCTCCCAAAATGGGGAGGAGGAGGAAGAGGAAGCAAGCCTGCTGACTCGGGGAAACAGAACCAAAAAAAAAAAAAAAAAAGGAGGTCTGATGGGTAGCGGAGGGCTGTGACTGTCTGTCGGCGGGCTCACGTGCCGGGTCGATGTGGTGGTGGAGCGAGGCAGCGATCGCTGTTTCTTGGCAGCCTCCCCCGGCGTGCCGCGGTTCGCGTTGCGGGGGTCCCCCCCAGGGCCGCGCAAAAATATCACCGAAACAACAGCTCCTCCAGCGCGTCTGCTCCCCAGAGAGCTAAATATAAACTAATTGGGCAGAGAGAAGGGAATTTTTCCACTGTGCTACTCGTCTGAGCCTGCTGGGTCATTAAGCCTGATGAGCTGGTGCTCTCGGGGACCCCCCCCCCAGCCGAGCCTGCTCCCCACTGACCCCAGTATGGCACGGCGTGAGTGCCACCGCTCTCTTTAGAGATGAGACCTCCCATAAATTCCTCAAAAGCAGTCGGGGCAGCGGCAGGCCTGAGTCCTGGAGCTCTGGTTCTGCACTCAAGTATCCCTATGAGCAGTGGCTGTCTTATAATTATGAAAAAGGACTTTTCCAAGGTCACCCTACACGGCTGTGGTTGCAGCCCAGCTGCCCACGACCCAGCTATTTGCTTAGAGCAGCAATGCAGAACGTGGCTGTGGTACAGTGAACCAAAGAGCAGATCCTCAGGCTGTTTTGTTTTTCCAAACTTTTCCGAGTTGGCTGCCTTTAGAGAGACAAAATTTCCCAGGCAAGAGCTTATTTCGGAAGCCCCACCAAGCTGGTGCAAGCTCTGAGAGTACAGGCTGTGGATGCCTGAGCCTTTAGTTGTCAACAGGTGAAGTAGGTATTGAAAATTAAAAAGTGTCATCACGCAATTAATTTACAGAATTTCTCCCGGCTTCAGGTGATTGATCCAGGAGTTTTGAAGCCTGTGATGTTTCATATGTTAGATGTGTAATATATCACATCTTACACATCTAACATACGCTATGGAAGATAAATAAGACCTGATGTGTTAGAAGTTTCTGTTGAAACACACGGAAGGAGGAAACTGTTGGACTGACCTGGAGGAGCACCGAAGCCTGCACGGAGCACGACTGCTCCCAACACCGTGGGTCCCCACGCAGACAGGTGGGGGGTACCCCTGTGAGTTTGGCTTCGTAATCACTATATTTGAGTAATAGATTAAAGACTGGTTGAGCAAGTGCAAAATACCTGTTTTAGTGCATTGAGTTTCTATTCCCCCCACACACTTAAAAAATAAGCCCAAAAGAGACTTGGTCATGGTTTTTGCTCTTAGAGGATTAAATAGAGCAGCATCATTGGTGTCACTCCTCTGTAGTCCATTTGAAGCATCCCTTGGGCTATATCGTTCCCTGTATTTGTGGATCCCGGCCATAGCTTTTGCTTTCAGCAGCCAAAGTTCAGGCCTTGGGCCGTGCGGTAGGTATGGGACCGTAGTGAAAGAAGAGTTTTACTTTGAGGCCGTTTTGTGCTTATATATCCTTACGTCTCCTAGGGTTTGTAAAAAATGAAATCTGGCAAACGTTGATCCAGCAGCTGGAAAACTTGCTCTCCTTCTCTCTGCTCAAAACCAGCCCTCGAAAGGAAGGACCAAAAATCCTTCCGGTGGCAGAGGAGAAGTGGGGCTTGGAGGTAGCACCAGAACGATGCTGCTGTCAGGGTGCACCAGCAACTTGCTCAGGTCTCA